AAAAAAAAAAAAAAAGAATGCAGTATGTATAGAACCTTTTTATGCAATATGGGAACTCAGGCTTAAAAAAACCTCCATTCAACTTCAGAAATTTGAGGTGCCAAGAAAAACACAGGGTGGAAAATTTTTTAAATTGTGGTAAAATATACGTGATGTAAACTTGAGCATTTTTTACCATTCTTAAATGTACAGTTCAGTGGCACTGAGTATATTCACACTGTATAACTATCACCACTATCCATATCCAGAACTTTCTCATCATCCCAAACTGAGACTCTCTACCCATTAAACAGTAACTCCCCATGCTTCCTTATACCTCCAGGCCCTGGTAACCACTATTTTACTGTCTTTCTGAACCTGACTATACTAGGTGTCTTATAGAAATGGGATCATACAGTATCTTTCCTTGTATGTCCGGCTGACTTTTTTTTAAGGAACTGCCATACTGTGCTCCACAGCGGCTGCACCATTTTACATCCCCACTGGCAGTGCACTAGGGCTCCCAACAGCAATGCCTAGGGGTAGGCAGGAATGCTGACCATAGCAAATTTCTTCAGTACTTGCCACAGAGCTAATGTCAGTTTTGTTCATCATGTTCCTGAAATCCAGTCTCATCCCTCTGAATTTCTCTCATTTCTCCCACTTCTAATCCCTAACTGCCAGCTCCAAAGATAATTCTTTATCCTTCATTAGTTTTTTTCTTCCAGAGTAAATGATAATTATAGCCTGAGTGGTTTTTTGAAAAGAGAAAAGGAGGGCCCTCTGTCCCTTTAACCATCACTCTTTACCTCTAAAAAAGCTGCTCAGGGAGTAGGTAGAAGTAGGTTTGGGTAGTTGTGCGTAGGTGGAGAAGCTGTTCCGGCTCTTTAGCTGTTCACGCCCCTCCTGGCTCGACCCACTATTACCAGCAGTCTCTTTGATGGACCATGAGATACCTGTGAGATAGTAAGAACTAAATCAGTGATTCTCATCCAAGATAAACCTTGAAATCCAGCATTCTGATAAACACTGAAAGTTTTTCACCAGAGGCCCTGGTCCCTTATTAACATGGACTTAAAAAATTGGGGCAGGGAGAAAGGATAAAATCAGATAGACTAATCAACAGAAAGAGGAGCAAAGGAAATTAATAAATGGATCACAGAAAAGGAAATTCAAGTGGCTACTAAACATATGAAAAAGGGGCGCCTGGGTGGTTCACTCCTTAAGCGTCTGCCTTCAGCTCAGGTCATGATCCCAGGGTCCTGGGATCAAGCCCTGCATTGGGCTGCCCCCTCAGCGGGAGCCTGCTTCTCCCTCTCCCACTCCCCCTGCTTGTGTTCCCTCTCTTGCTGTGTCTCTGTCAAATAAATAAAATCTTTAAAAAAATAAAAAATAAAAATAAAAAAAATAAAGCCTTGTTGATTGGGAAGGGAGGGAATTAAGGAAGGGAACAGCCTGCCTAAATGAACATGTCTTCTGCAAATTCCTGGCTAACCATCTCTAATCTTGGCCCTGACCAAGTGATCTGCTTTCCCACCTTTGTCTTTGGGACAGCTCATCACTGTGCTAGAGTCACTGGGTAACTGGAGTTTCCTTGGGCCACGTATCAGCCTAAAAAGAGGTTCCAACCCCTTCCCTGGCATTGAAGAAAGGACATAATAGATACACATTTTAATCTACTGGCAGGAAAGTCTCTACTGATTAGAATGAGATAGGGAAGGAAGGAAAACATGGTAGAAGACACTCCCCTGCCCCGGGCCTCCAGTAGCTATGCCCACCTCTTGCCTCTCCACCTATCAGATTCCTATCTAGTCTCAATTCCTAACCTCTTCTATAAGGCTTTCTTTGGGTATCCTGGCTGAAAATTATATTTGCTTCTTCTGCTCTTCCATTGTACTTCCCACTGGCATCACTGGGGACCAAGTAGTAAGAGATACCTTAAAATGCTTAAAAATATTAATAATACAGACTAGGCATTACACTAAGTGCTTTTCCCACACTAACTCTTAATCTTCATCACCTGTGGGGTAGGAATCATCATTTCCGTTGTATCGTTGTGGAACTGATGCTAGGAGAGGTTAGGGAACTTGCTCAAGGTCACTTCATGAACTTAGTGGTGGTGCCTGTATTCAATGCAGGTTATGTTGGACTCCAGGGTCTGGTTCTTAACCACCTGCTACACTATCATTTTATCACTGGCTGAGGTACATTATTAGTTATCCCATCATGTTTCAGTATCTCACCTAATAACAAAAAAGGACAGTGTCTTCTCTCTTTGTATCCTCCAGAGAGCTTTGAATAAAGTACTTTGTAAACTTTATAGACAAGATGATCAGTTCTTACCTGAAGAGGTCCAAAAGCAGCTTTTGATCCCCTATTTCTTTAAGGAAGTGAATGAGATGTCTCAGGGCAACCTGTCGCACCTCCAGCTCTCGGAAGAGGATCTCTGGTAGGTAGGAAGGAGTTAGGTGGAGAAAGATTAAAGCCTATTATTCAAGTGTGAAATTGGTCTCCCTCCTCATACATTCCAAACATCTCCTCAAAGCCAATCACAAGCGAGGAACAGCTTTTTGTGGCACCAATTCCTCTGGATCAACCCACCACCAGCACACTCCATGGTCCAGGGCAACTCTTGGCCATTCAATCAGCCCTCAGTTCTCACCAACCCAACCAGCAGGCACCTAGCATAGACTCTGAGGTCCTCAAACCAACAGAGCCATCTGTCTGTCTAGTAAATAGGGAGGCTTTGGAGTTAATGTATTTACCACCCTACAGGATGAACAACCACCCTCAGAGATGAGAAGAATACTCTGAAGTCTTAGGCCACCCCAGCTGTCTTTGAAGCAGAGCTGATGATGGTGAATTCTGATAATGGAAGCCACAATGCCATTCTCCCTTCAAATGTAGCAGGCATCTTGTCAACTGAAGATTTCTCTCAGTTCACGCTCACCTTTGCTCAGTGTCCTTTTCAGGAAGATCAGAACCTAGAGGGAAAGAGAACAAAGAATAAGTTACCCTGTGTAACCTACAAACACAAAGCCCTGCCCTGAGCTCCTGATGTGTAGGAATGAGGTGACTCCTTAGGAATCTTGGCACATTCAGACAACAGATTTCTCTTTGGGATGGAAGGACAGGTGATAGACATGTGGAATTGAGCTGTGTCTCAGAGACATTCCCATACTGGCAAGAGACACCTCCCTCTGGGAGAGACTGCTCTCATGCCTCTCCTGCCTCAGATTACTTTTTTATTGTTGTTTTTATTTTTTTAAAGATTTATTTATTTGAGAGAGAGCACATGTGAATGTGCACTTACACGTGTGCACACAGCAGCGAGAGAAGCAGAGAGAGAATCTCAAGCAGACTCCCTGCTGAGCGCAGAGCCCCATGCAGGGCTCGATCTCACGACCCTGAGATTATGACCTGAACTGAAATCAAGAGTGGGTCACTCAACCGACTAAGCCACCCATGCGCCCCTCAGATTACTTTTTTTTTTTTTAAAGATTTTATTTATTTATTTAACAGAGAGATAGAGAGAGAACAAGCAGGCAGAGAGGCAGGCAGAGGGAGAGGGAGAAGTTGGCTGCCCGCCGAGCAGGGAGCCCGATGCGGAGCTCGATCCCAGGATCCTGGGATCATGACCTGAGCCGAAGGCAGCCACTTAACTGACTGAGCCACCCAGGCGCCCCCCTCAGATTACTTTTTAGAACAGAGTAGCCAACCTGCTGCTTCTTGATTATAATCAAGAGTTCCACATCCGATGCATTTCCTGCCAGCCGAGCCTCAGAGCAGGTATTACTGAGGATCCTACACTTCAGGAGGAATCCAGGATCTCTACTAGACATTTAACCTAAAATGTTAAACTCCTATTCTGATCAGGCTTCGAGAAACTAATGAGAACAACAATTAAGCAAAAGACAAAGCCCACCACTTACTGCAGTAATGACGTTTCCGTCGTGCACGCTGACTGCTTCCTCCAGGAGTCGTAGCTTGTCCTGTAAGGAGCGGAATCGTTCTAGAGAGCAGACCTGGCAGTACAAGAGCAGAGTTAGTGTGCAAGGAAGTCCGCATGTCCTCATGGAGTCCTGCTGCAGCCAAAGGCTGGAGATCACTCATTCTCTTTTAAATGACGTATAATTGACATACAGTAAAATCTACTCAAGCATAGAGTTCAGCGAGTTTGACAAGTACGTATAAAATTCCATCTAACTGTTACCACCATCAAGATACAGAACAACTCCATCAGGCCAAAATGTTCCCTTGTGGGCTGATGTCAACGCCCTCCTTCCATCCCTAACTCCTGGCAGCCACTCATCTTTCAGTCACTGAAGTTTTCTCTTTTCCTGAATTTCACAAATAGAATCATACAATATGTACTCTTTTACATCTGACTTCTTTCACTCAATATCACGTTTCTCAGAGGAATCTATATGTTGTGATGAGTACTACTAGTTTGTTCCTATTCACTGGTAAGCAGTTTTCATTGTATGGACAGATCACCATTTATCCATTTATCTACTGAAGGATATTTGGGTTATTTCCATTTTGGGGGCTATTATGAATAAAGCTGTTGTGAAAATCTGTGTTGTCTTTTTTTTTAAGATTTTATTTGAGAGAGAGAAAGCGCACACACGAGAAAGTGGGCACATGGGGGGTGGGGGGTGGGGCGCAGAGGGGGAAGGACAAGGAGACTCTGCACAGAGCGCGAGCCCAACATAGGGCTCAATCCCAGGACACTGAGATTATGATCTGAGCTGAAACCAAAAGTCAGACACTCAGCCTACTGAGCCACCCAGGTGCCCCCGTGTATAAGTCTTTGAGCATATTTCAATTATCTTGGATTGTAAATGTCTAGCAATAAAATTAAGTATACGTTTAACTTTGTAAGAAGCTGCCAGACCATTTTCCAGAGTAGTTTTAACATTTCACTTTCTTGCCCCCACTGTATGAGAGAGCTCTAGCTCCTTCACAACCTCCCAGTGCTTGGTATGATCAGTATTTTTAAATTTAGCCACTCTAGTGGCTGTACAGTAGTATCTCACAGTTTTAATTCACATTTTCTTGATAACTGTTGATGTGGAAGATCTTCTCAAGTGCTCTTTGGCCATTCATGTACCTTTTTTCTGATATAACTGAAATCTTGTGCCAAGTTTCTTATTGGGTTGTTTATCTTTTTATGAAAGACAATCATTGTCCTTTATATAGTCTGGATAAAAATCCTTTACAATATATGTATTTTGCAAATATTTTCTCTCAGCCATGATGGTTTTTCCCCCACAAGAACTGTCTCTCCAGTGACCTCACCTTGCCCTTCCGGAGGCGCCACACTGTGTCACTGGGGCTCCAGTCATTGCTGTAATCCTGGAATGTTAACAACACATGAATCTCAGGAAGTTAAGGGATCAGAATTATCAGTGTGCCAGCTCCTCACCTGAAACTCATCTTTATTCCCCGATAGGGAAATATTTTATGGGAGGAGGAAATGAATGGAAAAAAAAAAAAATGAAGAACAGGGATAGTCTTGTTCTGAGTTTCTGAAGGAATTAGAATAGGGACAATGAAGGCAAGAAGAGATGGATCAAAGAGGGAAAGAACCGACTGACAAAACCCTATGCCTAGTGGTTCAGGATTTCATTCACCAGATATAATCAGTCACGTTTTGGGATTCTAATGAATGACTCTGCAGACAGAAGGAAAGAGGGAGACATGTTCCTCTTCTGGACCTTATAATAGTTTCTTCCTTATGAATGAATTTGCTTTGTTATGTGCTTCTTGGGAATATGAGCTCCACCAAGCTTCCAGACCACAGCAATGATCAAAAGTTTCAAAGTACAGCCTCCAAAAGGCAGTATAATGGGTAAGGAAAGTGTACTAAGACAGAATCAGAAAACAGATTGTGAGTCCCAGTTCCACCACTTAATAGCTATGAGACCCAAGGCAAACCCTGATGTTTAAATACCCAGTTTTCTTATCTACAAAAAAGTTAAAATAATAGCTGCTCAAAAAGTTGGAAATATCAAGCAAGATAATGTACATCAAAGCGCTTGGAACTTGTAAAGTGTCACACCAGTGTAAGCTATAACTCACCCTGTATTCCCCCTTGGGTCTGCCCAGCTCTGGAGCATAGCTTTTGGCAGGTATGTCCGACAGAGCTGAAAAAGAACAGGCAGCTGGTTCAGAAGGACACCATCTTCAGGTCAACCCTTTCCTCTATTGCTTCCTTCTCACACACATTTTTTTGACTTGTGAGGTCCCAAGGCATCTGAGACATCTTTATGGCCCAAAGTAGATCTTAGCTCCTCCCCAAAGACAGCATCCCTAGAAGTCACCCCTTGCTCCTATAGCCAGCATGATCTTGACCTCCTTATTCAGTAACAGAAAATTTCTCTAATAATGGTGGTAGATTCAGAAGAAATTTCATCTAATTACCACCTTTCCCCATGACTCCCCAGACTGTATCTCATATCAGTAACATCTCCCACAGCAATCAAGAGCAGAGGGTCAATGCTTACCATCAGAAAGGGACTGGAAACTTCCAGGTCTAGTTCTCCCTGAAGGTAAAGAATATTTAAGGGAAGAGATCAATAGTTCAAGTCGGAGCCATTTCAGACTTGGTTAAGAATGCAGTATGTAGGGCACCTGGGTGGCTCAGTTGGTTAAGCGACTGCCTTCGGCTCAGGTCATGATCCTGGAGTCACAGGATCGAGTCCCGCATCGGGCTCCCTG